TGAGCCACCGCGCCCGGCCTGATTTGTGCTTTTTACCTATGCAATATATCTAAGAGATCTTTCCACATTAGCAGATTAGTCCCTCTAATTTCTAATTGCCTTTATCCTTCCAATACCTGGGGAGGTTTCAACAGAGGGCATTTAGCTAAAGCTTTGCTGTTACCTGACATAGGTTTCTTTTCTTTATTCTTATTTGCTGATAATGCTAAACTTTTGCCCATTTTTTTTTCTGTTGAATTATTTATCATTTTCTTATTGGTTTGTAGAAGTAGTCAGTTTAGACACATAAGTGATTTTGGGAAAAAATAGTTAAGCTGCCGAGGAGATGTGCCATCATCCATGCCAGTGGTCCCAAGTCATTCTAGATTAATTATGCAAACTGGCAAGCTGATAGCTCTGGAGATTAGAAAGCTGGGATTATTTTCTGTATTTGAATATCCCCTACAAGGTTGCCATGATTCTTTTATTCTATTCATTCTTTTCCTACCTATTCAAGGATATGAACTATGTTTCTTCACAGAAATTTCCAAGGAAATGCTATTTCTTACATTGATAAGAATGTCTGGAAATCATACTCTTGGACTGAGAAACTGTGAGTATATTCTCTCCAAATATGAGTACAAAAAATTAACTGCATTGTAAGATCCTTCTTGATCCAGAATTTTGAGGCCAATACTTCTGAGGAAAGGTATTTCCCTCTCCCTATCTCAAATCGACCTCTGTTGATGGTAATTGTATGATTATTTTAAAATTAAATTTGGTGGGCTGTCTTTAAAATAAGAGGCAATTTAAATTTACTTTGTATTATACAAGTAATACACAATTATATTCGTAATGTATGAAAACAAAACAACAAGTATAATGAAAACCCTCCTTGTGCCCTAATCCCTGGTCCCTGAGGTAACCACTACTCTGAGCTTGGCATATATCCTTCTAGACCTTTTCCCAAGTATTTGCCTACATCCATATTTACATATAGCAAAACAGATTTGTTGTGTGGTCTTTTTATCTTTTTTTTTTTTTTTACATAAATGGTAACATCTTGCAACTGGATTCTTTCACCTCATGATATGTCTTAGATTTCTTTCTTTCCTGGTATTGAGAAGGTTACCTCATTCATTTAAACTCCTGCATAATATTCCATTTTATAGACGTATCATGGTTTATTTAATAATTCCCCTATTGCTGGATGTTTATATTTTATGTCCAGTTTTCTTGTTACATGCATTGCTGCTATGAAATCCTTATGCATGCTTCTTTATAAACACGGGCAAGTATTTCTGTAGAATAGACATCTAGAAATGGAATTGTTGATATGAAGACTTTGTAGGTATGAACTTCTAATTGTTCTCAAAAAAGTTGTGCCACCTTACATTACAGTCAACAGAATATGACAGCATTCATTTTTCCCTTTTGTCACTGAGTATTCTCCAACTCTTTGCTGATATGATGGGTGAACCAAAGGGGTCCCATCTGAATTTGGATTTTTCTGATTATTTGTCAATTTAAATATCTTTATATGTTTATTGAACATTTATGTTTCTTCTCTGAGTTTTCTGTCCTTTGTCCATTTTTAATGTTGAATCATTTTATCATTTTCTTACTGATTTGTCAAAGGAATCAGTTTATGTACATAAATGATTTTGGAGAAAAATACTTACATGCAAAGAAATTAGCTGACATTTCACAACAGTTTATGTGTCATATCATCATTGATTTCTGAATTTCTATTTGTGAAAATAGAGATGTAATTTTACTTCCTATTCAGGTTGTTCCCCTGAATTCAATCTGTTCTTTTCATGGGCCTCTGCCCTAAAGGGGTGATCGACAAATGGAAACTACATACATATTTTTGTATATATTCAACAAAGTGCAGTTTTCTGGGAAAAGGATCCATAGCTCTTTTGAGATTCTCAAAAGGTTTTATCACATACAAGATTGAGTTACAAATGTAGGGGAGAAGAAAACATTTATTTTCCTGCAAAGCTGTACTTAGCATCATAAATAATAATAATAATAAATAATAATAAATGGATGATTTATTTTAAATAAAAGTAGTAAATCTGAAAATTGATATCTGCCACTTCATTCATTCATTCAACAAATATTTATGGAGCATCTACTATGTGCCAGGAACTGTTGTAGGTGCCAGGGATACAGATCCAGGAACAAAACAAACCTAATATCCCAGTTCCCAAGGGCTTATAAAGATACAAATAAATTTATAAATATAATAGATATAATTTCAAGTCCTGATAAGTGATTAAAGTCCTGATAAGTGATTAAAAGGGAGAGAAAAGAGGGAAAGGAGAATCAATCAATTTCAGAATGGCCTCTGTTTCCATTATATGTATATTTAAACCCAAATAAACCCTTGAGTTCTCTCAATTTCCTAAAAGTTACAAGACAAGGGGAAGGATAATTGTCTATCATATAGAATCAAGAATTAATATTGTGAAGTTCAGAAGATTGCCTTGGTCAGGAGTTAAACGTGTATGTGTGGGCTGGGCGTGGTGGCTCATGCCTGTAATCCTAGCACTCTGGGAGGCTGAGGCAGGAGGAAGGCTTGAGCTCTGGAATTTGAGACCAGCCTGAGCAAGAGAGAGACCCTGTCTCTACTAAAAGAGAAAAAAAAATTAGCCAGGCGTGATGGTGTGCGCCTGTTGTCCCAGCTGCTTAGGAGGCTGAAGCAGAAGGATTGCCCGAGCCCAGGAGTTTGAAGTTGCTGTGAGCTAGGCTGATGCCTTGGCACTCTAGCCTGGGCAACAGAGTGAGACTCTGTTTCAAAAAAAAATACAAAACATGGATGTCTTAAATTTTAGTTTAGGCTTGGTTTTGATATTGTCACGGTTTGAGAAAATTTTAGATCTGTAAATAACTGATTGATTCCCTATAGTTTTAAAATTTTTGCTTCAATCAAAATGAATATTTGGAGTTCAATAAATTAATGTATTTTGTTCTGGTTGCTTATTTCAAGCTCTTTTTTTGGGTAATCTTTTGATGACTAACCCACTTCTCAGTGTAAACTTTCTTTCTAAGCTGAATTTATTGTGACTTTTTAAATTTTGACTATCCTGTCATCCAGATAACTTTGCAGAAAGAAACTTCTTTGAATTTTTTTAAGTTAACATTAATAAATATTTCATTTTTGTCTTGAGTTTTTTCATTTGCTATCATTTCTTATGTCTTTTTTGTATATCGTCCATAGCATTCAATACAGTTTTGTTATGTGATGGGGAGGTAGGGTTTTGTCAACATTTTATAGTTATCAAGAGGGTTACTATAAACATTGTTGGACACATTGATTTGTTTTTCCTTTTTGGACATTTCCATGGAAATGTGAAAGTGTTAGCTAACCGAGGTGAGAAGTCAAATCACCTGGTTCCCCCTTCTCAAGTATTCCGACCATCACTGTTCCTTCCAACATGTTGGATTTCAATTGAGGTCAGACAGAATCTGATGCATTCTCAGGGTTCCAAGAGTTCTTGTTGGGAATTAAAGTTTTTTGTGTTTTTATTTTAATGATAATCTTTTTTTTTTTTTTCTTTTTTGAGACAGGGTCTTACTCTGTTGGCCAGGCTAGAATGTAGTAGTCTCATCACAGCTCCCTACAGCCTCAAACTCCTGGGCTCAAGTGATCCTTCTGTCTCAGCCTCCCAAGTAGCTGGAACTATAGGCACATGCCACCACACCTGGCCAATATTTCTATTTTTTTGGAGAGGTGGGTCTTGCTCTTGCTCAGGCTGGTCACAAATTCCTGGCTTCAATCAATCCTCCCAACTTAGACTCCCAAAGTGCTGGGATTACAGGTGTGAACCGCCAAGCCCGGCCTAATGATAATCTTTTTAATATGTATATAACTATACTGTGTATGATATGGACCACCTTATAACTGAGAACTGCCCTCAATTTCAGTGGCATGCTCTCTAGGTAGTAGTATTTTGTTGTCATAAGCTATGAGATGAAATTAATATCAATATGTGGCCACATCATAAGGAAGCACAAGTGTTTAATGTCAAA